CCCCCCCCCCTTTTTTTTATCCCCACGATCTAGAGCCCAGTCACAAGGAAAAAGCATGAGTTAGATACTCAGGAAGAGTTTTTTCCATTCATTATCCATGATTTTTTTTTTTTAACTTCAATTTCCTAGTCTGAGGAGATCTAAAAAGGATTCAAAGCATGTAGATTCCAAGCACTGTATTTGTGAGCTTTAGTTGTACTCATAAATATATAATGTAACTATTTGAAAATTATTTCTCCTAGCCAATGTGTTTTGTCAGAGGAGAGAATCTCTCTTCAGTGAGAGAAGAGATATCTTGGCAGCTTCTTGAAACAGATTCACTAGATTATAGGAAATGTAACTTGTGTCCATGTGTAAGTAAAATACTAGACATTTTAGTTGCCTCCGGTTTGAACAGAATTACTGCTTTGAGCCTCTTGTCATCTGTGAGTGCGTGGCAAGCTTAGGGCTAATGGGAGTTCAATTTTTTTTCATGTATAACACTTTGAGATACTAAAACCAGCGTCACTTCTAATTCTGAAATGTTTACATTAAAAGTTTCCTCTGTAAACTTAAAAATTTTTATTGATGTAAATACTGACATTGTTTATAGTTTCCTAAAGAAAACAATAAAAAAAATCTAGGCAATTCTTCACAAAATAAAGTTACCTAGTACATGCATATCATAAAAAAAAGTATAAATAAGCTAATAAACATTAAAATCACTTCTTCCACCACTCAGGGCTAAACCATATAAATATACCCATTTTTGTGTATATGTCCTACAAACGCATGTTATACCTCTCAATACATGTGTGTGGGCTGTTTTACAGAATAAAATCAAACTATTTGTACTTTTTCCTTGAACATTCTTTTTCTTGGACATAATTTTTATTGCATAATATTGCATTTTGATGTAAATGAACCTTTATTTAAAAAAATTTTTTTAACGTTTTTATTCATTTTTTGAGAGACAGGGTGTGAGCGGGGGAGTTGCAGAGAGAGAGAGAGAGGGAGGGAGGGAGGGAGACATAGAATCTGAAGCAGGCTCCAGGCTCCAAGCTGTCAGCACAGAGCCTGTCACAGGGCTCGAACTCAGGAACCGGTGAGATCATGACCTGAGCCAAAGTCAGACACATACCCAACTGGGCCACCTACGTGCCCCTGAACCTTGATTTATATCAAGTAATATTTTGATAACCCCCAGATTTCTATTTTGCTGGTAAATTGTTTGACTTGTAAGTTTGTAAAGTATTTTTCTTTAGAACAATACTATAAATGGTAGTTTATTTTCTAAGTTAACTCCCTAAATTTTAATTAATATCTGTCACATAGCTAAATGGACAAATGGCACTCCAGTGTTTAAACCGTAGAATCTGCTTATTACATTATTTCCTTGGAAATTTGTAATCCAGTCGGTACCTGGCATAATGTCAGACATAATGGGTACTCAGCAAAATTTGAGTGAATGGGAGCTGGGATTCCCTCTCTTCCAGAGTGTCCTGGCTAGAGCAGCCAGGGACAGATGGTGTTTACTTACTTGGACTGTGGGAAGAACATTGTTGATGGCAGGGAGGGCATACTGGATACAGGATTCCCTCATCATCTGTGTCTTTGGCAGTTGTCAGTAATTTGGCCTTAGCTTTGGTAAAACAAAGTTCCTGGAAAAAGGAGTCTTTATCTCTGGCAAAGTTGAGGGAGACGGGAGAAGGCAAAAGGTAAATTGAATCTAATCAGCATTTGTAAAACAGTACTATCTAAGAGCAATGGAATACACATTTGTTTTTAAGTACACAGCATTTATCGTGTTATGGGCCATAAAAGAAGGAATTGAAGGGCAGTTTTTTAAAAATTAAGCCTTATACCTACCATATCATTCAGCTCTTCCACTCCTAGGTAATTAACCAAGAAGAAAGAAAACATATATCCATACAAAGACTTGTACGAATCGATGCATGTTTATCTCCAAAGCCATTTTATTTGTAAAAGCAAAAACTAGAAATAACCCAAATGTCCCATCAGTTGAATGGATAAATGAACTGTGGTGTATCCATACAACCGAATACTACTCAATAATGAAAAGGAATAGACTATTAATCAACAGTGGATGAATCTCAGAATAGTTATGCTGAAGTTAAAAAGCCAGCCAAAAAGAATACATACTTTATGGCTCCATTTGTAGAAACCATTGCACCATCCGTAATCCTAGTGACAGAAGGCACAGATCAGTGATTGCCTGGGGATGTGGATGGTAGGACAGGGTAGCAGGAAACTTAGGTGATGGATATGTTAATTATCTTGATTGTTGTGCTGGTTTCATAGGTTATAATATGTGGAAACTTATCAAATTGTAGGGGTGCCTGGGTGGCTCAGTTGGTCAAGTATCTGACTCTTGATCTTGGCTCAGGTCATGATCTCACGGCTGGTGGGACTGAGCCCTGCTTTGGGCTTTGCACTGACAGCATGGAGCCTGCTTGGGATTCTCTCTGCCCCTCCCCTGGTCATGAATGTGCACGCACACTCTCTCAATTAAGTTTTTTTTTTTTTAATGTTTATCAAATTGTAAATAAAATGTACAGTTTATTATGTAGTTGGCCCTTGATCTCTGTGGGGATTAGGAGCACCGATCGTCTGCACAGTCAAAATCCACATGTAACCTCTGTCTCCCTTATTACTTAACTCTCCTAATAGTCTACTATTGACTAGGAGTTTTACCAGTAACATAAACACATAGTTTGTATGTTATGTATTTTGTATGCTGTATTCTTACAATAAAATAAGCTGAGAAAAGTTATTAAGAAAATCATAGGGAAGAGAAAATACATTTACGGTACTAAACTGTATTGGGGGAAAAATGTGCCTGTAAGTAGACCAGTTAGTTCAAACCTGTGTTCGTGGGTCAACTGTATATCCATTATAGCACAATAAAGTTATCTAAAATATGAATGAATAAAAATAAGGCCCTCATGATTCTGAGGCTGTTTACATCATCATAGTGTTGATTACACACCTGCATGCAAATGGCATGACATTTTACTGTCTGCTGGGTCAATAAAGGGTCTTGCCTGCTTTGTGCTTCTTCACAACCAGAATCAATAGAAAGTGTTAGGGTTCTAGAAAATCTCCCAGTTTTGCACTGAGGAAAAATCTAGATTTATAGATGGTTAACAATACTGCATTGAATTTTTCTTAAGGTAGCAACATGATTTCTAATGCCGAACTTCATCAAATTGTATCAGCCTGAGTAGAGAAGAATAGAATATGTGGGGGTGGAGTCAAATTTTCTAGAAATAGAGTAGAATGGTAGTTACCAGGGGATCAAGATGGGGGAGACAAGATGTTGGCCAGAGATTACAAATTTCCAGCTAGAAGTTGTAGAAGTTATGGGTATCTAACGCTCAGCACTGTGATTATAGCTAACAATACTGTATTCCTTATACTGGAAAGTCAGAGTAGATCTTAAATGTTTTCACCACAAAAAAAGAAATGGTTGCTTATGTGACGCAGTAGTTAACGCTGTGGTGGTGATTACCAGTATATAAGTATATTGAACCATTACGTTGTACGTCTTAAACTTCCACAATGTTACATGTTCATTATATCTCATTGTGTGTGGGAAGGTGTAGAAAACTTGACTGAAGGCACACAAAACACTAAAATAAGTAGAAAGAAAACATGGCGATGATAATTCAGTGATTTCTCCTTGCCTATTCAGTGAACACCAGATTCCTGAGGCATTGACTTTTGATGCCCCCTGTGGTTTGCTCTTCAGATACCTGTTCAGTTTTGGCCCACCCTTCTCCCAGAATATACTGTGCCATCACCCTCTTCATTGCCTTGGTTATTAGTATTTTCTCTGCCTCTGAGTCTTGCCCGTTTCCTCTTACACTTTGTATCTGTGTGATAATATTCTACCTAATCATTAAGTTCCCAGTCAAATGCTAACATGTTTTTTCTGATCCTCCCAAATGAAAGTGTGTCGTCAGTGTTCTGTATTGTAGTAGAAATTAATCACATAATTTGTACCTTAGGCCTCATGGGGTATAGGTCAGTGAAGTCTTCCCTGCTGTTTTGGAACTGAGCAGATGGAGAGTTATGCATTTTGGCTACTATTTAGATGTGTTAAATAGTCAACAAACTTTTTACATTTATTAAAATTAATTGTTAATGCCGACGAGGGAGAGGCAAGGACAAACAGGAAAAACCAAAAATTGTTCCGATTTTTATTTTGGAACCATGTTTTGCAGTCATTTGATATAGAGCAGACAAGTGGTAGATTTGCTGTTCTCATGACTTCTGTTTTTCTTAAGCTCATATTTTAACTCTGTAGACCTTCTCTTCCCTTCATAGTGTTAGAACCAGGTAGTGGCTAATTGGGAAAGGAGAAATAAGTTTGTAAACTTAAATCAGCCGGAGGTAATTCACTCTGAGTAATTCCATAGAAATATTCAGGAGTTGCTTATTGGCATCTTAATGTTAGAATGTTAGTTGGGTTATGGAAAAAATACTAACTGGGTAGGACTCGTGAAGTATATGAAGGAATGTATTTTTGAGATTACAAGTGATAGCTGTTCTCTGGATTGTTCACTGTCTTGATCACTTCTGTTTATTTTCCAGGTCCGGACCCTATTTGTCAGTGGTCTCCCTCTGGATATCAAACCTCGGGAGCTCTATCTGCTTTTCAGACCATTTAAGGTACCTTTTCTCTTTGAGAAATTATAAAAAGCGACAAAAAGTATGTGTATAAGCTTCATGGGGGTTTCTGCAGGAAGAAATGATACGTTTGAGAAAGCATCTTGTAAAGTGACCTTCTTACAGGGTTGGTCAGTAAAGAAGATTTAATCACTCAGTTCCAGTGTATAGTCTTAGGAACGGCTGAAATTGCCTTTTGTCCTCCCCAACAGCTAATCTAGAAAAGTCTCTTTTACTAATGTGGACATGCATCTGACTCTTTGGCATGTAGAGCAGGCTTCGTGTCCTCCCTGTTTATCGTCTGCCAATTGGGAATATTCTTGTGAGTGCAGACTACTGAAAATACCATCAATTACTGTTATTTATATTGCCAGTGCAGTAATATAAGTCAAGCCCTATTCCTACAAGGTTTATTAGTTGGAATACTGTTGTTAATATTGTTCTTTAGATACATAAGTTAAGTGTACTTTTAAACTAAGTATTTTTAGACAAAGAACATAACCACCATTACTTTTTCTGTGAGAAGAATGTCCTAAATCTCATACAAAGTAAAACAGAATTTTAAAGAATTACTTGGTGTGCTGGGACATCACGAAATGCTTAACACAGTTGCCTGTCCATTGGGACTATCACGATAAAATCACTTTAGAGATAGTTATTTAACGTTGATAGAATTGAGAACGTAACAGGTAATTGGACCACCAAGGAGAAACCTTGAAGGCTAACCTGTGTGGAGGATAAGAGAAAGATGGGACCGGGTACGTTGTGGGCTGGAGGCCTAGGCCCTCAAGGAGAGCATGTAGAAGTTGTGATAAATTCAGGGCTTGTGTCTGAGCTGGTCAGTGAGGACATGTTAGCAGCAGTGCCTGTCCAGGAGCACATTTAGGATTAGGTGGTGGGCCATCTTGATTAATGATGAAACATCCATCCTGTTGAAGCATGACCCCAGCCACAGAGGCAAGACAGACTGAGGGACAGAATTCAGCTTCTCAGGGAGGAGAGAGTAGGATGTAACAGCTGAAAACATCTGGGTAGGAAAGGAAGAAAGAAGGTTGAAGGGGCAGCCAGCTAAAAACTAACAAAGGTAAGAATCTAGCTTACGTGCTAGGAAGGCACCATGTATTAATAGACCTGCCTCGATTCTGATAGCCATCCCCTTACTGTAACAATGATGACAGTACAGAGGGAAACAGAAGGGTTAATCATGCTTAGCTGAGAGGAAGTGGGGGAGAAAAGATGATGGTGTGAGGAGAGTGTCAGCTTCATAGGATTTCCTGAACATCTTTTGCAGGGTTGCCATTTCTACTGTCTGTCCCTTTTGTAGGATGAGGACTTTTTAATTGATTCGATCATCTAAAAGGGCAGAATACTGTTAGGTTTTTGTGTGTATAGAGAGATTTAGCCAGCAAGCTTCTTACATGAATTACCCCTATTGAAATCTCACCACACTCAATTCAGGTGGGTTGGCCTCAGTTTTTCAAATGAGGAAAGTGAAACTTGTATAACTGAATAAATTTTACTCCAGTTCACACATAACAAATGGCAGGGCTAAGATTCAAATGCAAGCAATTTGCCTCTGCCATCCATGTTCTGAACTAGTCTGTGATACTGCTTTTCTGTTTGTGACTTGGGAGCACAATATATCGCTACCTGTGGTGTTGTACTTGAGTGAAATATCCATTTGTCCTTTGCCTCTGAGGCCTCCAGAGTGTTTAAGCCTCCAAGTTTTTCAGAGACAGTGCACCTTGAAAAAGGAAGAGGCAGGACTATGAATCATGACCTCTCTGGCCAGAAGAGCTCAAGGCCTTTGAGGTAAAATGTTTACAGTAGCTAATTGGTAACATAGTTCTCTGTTGAGAAGATACGAGGAAGAATCAATCCCAACATCCTGCCCAGAAACCCCAACGCTAGAGTCAGGACCCTGGTACATTCCCAACAACCCTCTTTTAATTAAAGTCCCTGGAGGCTGACCCTAGTCTGCAAATCTGTCTTGGCACTGATATGTGTGGTGGTCAATCATGTCAAGTGGTGTTTTTTTCCCCCTTGTGTCATCCATCAGTACAAGCCACCAGCCATTGATTATTTTCAGAAATAAACACACTTTGTTATCCTTATCCTGAGGAGCCAGGAGGGGCGAAGCGAGGGAGTGAAAAGGGAGGGTTTCTATCCTCCTTGAGGATGAGCTGCAGTAAAAAGCCAACAGGGAGTTTTTGCATGTTCCAGTCGGAATACCAGCATGAAAACTGGCTGCTTCAATAAGTAAGCAAAATAACTCAACAGAATTTAGCATCACTACCTGCTAAACTTTTCCTGGCAGTTTTGAAATTTTGCATAAGTAGTTCTACCTAGTACATTCGTAATGTTTTCATGTTATTTTATAGCAAACACATGACCAAGTCATCACATACTTCCTATCTTACTGAATTTACTCCCTTCACTCTCTTAGTTCTGTAAAATGAAAAAGACCTGTTGACAGGAACCCATCTTCCTACTATTATATAATTTCATTGAAAAAAAAAAAGGATAGGAAACATAGATACGTGCATAAATTTCAGGATCTGATTTGTTTTAGGCCTTAAATGTGGAAGCATAGGTAGATGTGTGTGTGCCCGCGTGTGTAAAATTTGCTTTCTCAGAGAGGCGTTTGTAAGAAGAGTTAGATGGTCAGGAGTCAAAGGACTCATTTTTACTTGAGCAAGATGCTATTAAAATTGTTTTTTGGGGGGTGCCTGTGTGGGTCAGTCAGTTAAGCCTGCAACTCTTGATTTCTGCTCAGGTCATGATCTCATTCATGGTTTGGGAGTTTGGGCCCTGCTTTGGGCTCTGTGCCAACAGCATGGAGCCTACTTTGAAGGATTCTTTCTACTTCTCTGACTGCCCCTCCCTTGCTCGCTCACTCAAAAAAACTTTTTTTTTTTTAATTGTTTTTTTATTCTTATCTTTTTTGGTCTAAATTTGGTTCTTCTTAATTTTCAGGGCTACGAGGGTTCTCTTATAAAGCTCACATCTAAGCAGGTAAGAATTTCAAACTTACATATAAATGATCCAATTCTATAATAAATTTGAATTGACTTTCTTCAGGAATGTTACTGGGGCTGAGCATTCTCTTTTTTTAATTCTCATTAGGATTTGAGTTTTGTTGTTGACTTAAAATTAAGGGTGAGATTGGTTAGGAATTAGCACAGGAAAATGATTCATAATTCCATTGTCTCCAGCTAGGATGTCTGAGGCTGTCCCTGAGGAAAGCAAACGTAATGCCTCCAGCATGGTTATATTGGGATTGGTCTGTATATTCAAAACAAATTATCCAAACCCACTTTTATTCCCAATTCTTCCTTTAAAAAAAAAAAAAAAACACATAACAGACAAAATTTCGCAGTGTATAAATATCTGTTGACGAGGACTCATGCTGTCTTTCTTGTGTTTCAAACTGCTAAAATCAGGCATAGTCCCCAAGTCTAGAGTGGAGCACAAAAGGTGCAGAATGGAGGGTGGCAATCCATGACCCTGATAACTTCTAGAAGCTTCTTGAAGATTTTTAACTATATGCTTCCCCCGCCCCCAAAATGCTGAATACCTTAGCATGCTCACCTCTCAGAGTCACTTTTCATCTCTCAATAAGATATTCTCTGATTCATTATAAGTAAGCTGTGTTGCAAGCATCTTTCTGGACTAGAAGTCCAAAGGGATTATCACTCCTCTCTATTCAGTTGGAACAATTTGGTTTACCCAGCTAGTTAAACTTTTTTAAGGTATCCCTTGGGATTTGGCATGGAAATGCATTTTGTAAATTTGATCATGCAGTGAGAGTACAGGGCTTTTATCATTGTGTCATTATATTCCTTGCACTTACAGTGTACCAAAAGGTGATTCGGTTCTCTTTCCATTTTAAAAGATGAAGAAACTGAGGTACAGTGAATTTGATTTAGGAAAGTAGAGCCTCTTGACCCAAGTTTTCCTCTATTCTCTTGTTCACTGCTGCTCACCTTCCAACCCCTTCTAGATTTTTTTTTTTTTTTTTTTT